ATACTCGTGTTCAATTTCCAGACAAGGAGCAGTGATAGACAAGATTTTCTCTCAAGTGTGGTCACATCTGATGGGAAATTATAGGATAGTAACTGATGAGTTGATTGGTGTTGAATCACACGTAAAAGAAGTGAGGGATTTGCTGGACTTGGACTCCAAGGGTGTGAAAATTGTTGGGATTTACGGTATGGGTGGTATTGGCAAGACCACCATAAGCAAAGCTGTTTATAACGATGTCTCTTCACGGTTCGAACGTTCTTGCTTTCTAGAGGATATACGGGAAACATTGTTGAAGAATGATGGTGCTGTTACTTTGCAAAACAAGATCATTTCTAGCATTATGAGGCATGATAGCCATGTTAAAGATACTAGCGAAGGGATTCACATAATTAGAGATAAAGTTTGCAAGTATAAGGTTTTAATTGTTCTCGATAATGTAGACAGGAGGTTTGAGTTTGACAACATTTTTGGAAACTTACGAGATTTTTCCATAGAAAGTCGGTTTATTATGACAACAAGAGACATAAGGGTTTTAGACTTCTTTGAAGAATGTAGGTTGTTCGAAGCCAAAGTAATGACTCACATTGATTCTTTTCAACTTTTTAGAAAACATGCATTTGGAGTGGGTGATCATCAAGAAGAAAAAGAAATTCTTTGTGAGGAATTTGTAAAAGCTGCTGCAGGACTTCCTCTAGCTTTAAAAGTCATAGGATCACTTTTGTTTCGCAAAGAGAAAAGAGTTTGGCAAGAAAAGTTGGAGGAATTAAAGGAAAGACCTTCTGATACTAGGGTGCATGAGATATTGAAAATAAGTTATAATGATTTAACTCCCGCTGAAAAAGATATCTTTTTGGATATTGCTTGTTTCTTCGTTGGGAAAACTAAAGAATTGCCCTTTTACATGTGGAATGACTGCAAGTTTTATCCAGAAAGTAGTGTTAGCAGTCTTATCCTTAGATCCTTGTTAAGAATTGATGAGAGGAACCAATTCTGGATGCATGACCACATTAGAGACCTTGGTCGAGCTATTGTTCGCGAAGAAAATATCCAGCAGTCATGGAAACGTAGTAGGATATGGTCTGAGGAAGAGGCGTTGGATATGTTAGAAAATGGAAAGGTATTTCTATTTGCATTTTGATTATATTATCCATGCGTACATCTCATCTTTTAACTTTCATTTAATACATGTAAGTTAGATAGCTACTTGTTTGATACTTGGGTGATTTCATATTGTAGGGAAATGACAAGGTAGAAGTTCTTAGAGTCAACTTGGGAGATCGAGATGTTCTGAAGTTGACGGATGAAGAATTTAGGAATTTATCAGGGGTAAGGTTTCTTGAAGTGAGGGGTGGCAGAATGACTGGAGATTTCAGTAAGATTCTTCCAAATATACGATGGCTTCAGTTGTGCCTCTGTCGTTCAATTCCAACTGATGTTAACCTGAAGAAAGTCATAATTCTTAATTTGGAAGGATCCTACGTCAGGGATGATTGGAAAGGCTGGAAAAGAGTTAAGGTACGCTAATCAATCTCTCCTATCTTTTATTTTTCCTAGCATGTCAAGAACAATATATGTTTACTTGAGTGTGGTAAAAATAGATTGTGACTGTAATGGTACAGGAGGAAGGTAAGAAGCTGAAAGTGGTAAATCTACGGCAATGCGAGGACTTGGTGAAAGCTCCGGACTTGTCATCCTGTGGCAGACTAGAGGTGATAAATCTTGAGCTCTGTACTAAGATGGGAGGGGAACTGCATATTGGCAATTTCAAGAATTTGAAACTGCTGAGGCTCTCGAGTAGCAAGATAACAGAGTTGAAAGGTGATATTCAAATGCTTCAAGACCTGGAGGAGATCGATGCTTCCAATCTGACAGAAATGCCTGCTGGTATTGGTAATGTAAACTCTCTGGAAATCTTGATGTTGATCTTATCGCGAGTGGAATTGCCTGCACTCCCCACAAGTTTAAAGAAGCTGTGGCTTTCGTCCCCCAGTGTTCCCAATCTGTTGGAGCTCAAGGACTTGGAAGATCTATGCTTTCAGCATTGTCACGGAGCGCCTGAAATTCCTGGAGATATATGGCTGCACCTAACCAAGTTGAAGAAACTGACAGTATCTTTTTCCTACTGCAAGAGTCTATTACTGCAGGTGGAGTCAGTTGCAGGTAGTAATAGTAGTAATGGAATCATGGGAGACTCGGTTGCCAAGCTCCCATCATCTCTAAACAGCCTTGTGGTTTCTTGTATGCAATTGGAGACACTGCCGGACCTTGCAAATCTGAGTAATTTAATCGAACTACGACTTCGGTCAGTCCAGGTAGATGAGATACATGGTGTTGGACAGCTGAAAATGTTGGAAGCTTTTGCAATATCTGATGCGCCAAACCTTAAAAGTCTCGACGGTCTAGAAAATTTAGTGCTCTTGCAACGGCTTACTGTGGTCTACTGTGGTGCACTGGAGAAACTGCCAAGTATTTCCAATCTGACCAAGTTACACACATTAGTGATTCGTAGTTGTTGGGCCCTGTTTGAAATCCAAGGGCTGGATGTATCCATGGGAGAGTCTTCTTTAACACATTTAGAAGTAAGTTGCTGTCCCAAGTTAGCTAGTGTTGAAGACCTTCTTCAATCTATGCAAGCACTGCAAACTTTGAAACTGACAAACTTTCAGGCACTAGAAACACTACTACTACGTCTTTCTTCTTTGTCCAAGTTAGGCAACCTGAAGAACTTAGCTGTTGAGGAAACCCCAGGTGGTGGTTCAGATACTACATCTGTCCCAGGAATCCGAATCCTTCATCTTGCTGGTCTTGGTAAACTACATGTTATAACTATTTTAGGATGCCAGCAATTGACTGAGATTACAGGGTTTGACACATTGCAGTCGTTAGAAGAGTTAGATATTTCATATTGCACCTCCATTCAGAAGCTGTCGGGTCTATCTACCCTCAAGAATTTGAAGAACCTAAGAATTTGGTCTGGCAGACAATTGACCGAGATGGAAGAGCTCGACCTGTTGGAATCGCTAGAACGATTAGAACTGCACCGCTGCACGTCAATGAAGAAGCTGCCAAATCTGTGTCACCTCAAAAAGTTGAACTGTTTGAGTATTAGTGAATGCAGGTCGTTGACGTCAACGGAGGATTGCGGGATAGATGGTTTGAATTCATTGCAACGGCTCAACATTTCCTGGTGCACATCAATTCTCAAGTTGCCAAATTTATGTGGTCTCACGAAACTGACAAATATGGATATCATAGGATGCACAAAAGTGACCGAGGTGATGGGGCTAGAAAGACTGGAGTCGCTGGTACGGCTAAAGTTGAATGACTGTGCATCAATTGTGAGGTTGCCTGATCTATCAGCACTCAAGAATCTGACACTGTTAAACATCAGCGGATGCACACAACTGACCGAGGTTACAGGACTTGAGAGTTTGGAATCTTTGCAAGTGCTAGCGATGTCGAGGTGCAAGTCAGTTAGCAAGTTGCCTGATCTATCTATTCTCGAGTACCTCAGATACTTGAATATTAGCAAATGTACGCAGTTGAAGGAGGTCATAGGAGTCGAGAGGTTGGAATGGTTGGAACTGCTAGCTATGTCACAGTGCAAGTCAATCAAGCAGCTGCCAGATTTATCTGGTCTAAAATATCTGAAGCACTTGGATATTAGACAGTGCAGGCGGTTGACTGAAATCAAGGGCCTCCAGGAATTAAAATCCTTGGAAGTACTGGGGGTGCACGATCCCATATCTGCTCCGGGGTTGATGGATGGCATGTCGGAATTACATCAGAAGTACCTAATGTGACTTGAATTGATGCACTGGACATGGAAGGGAACACAGCAAGTAGTGAAGTAGTACCCGTACCCAACCTGGGGGACTGACTAATGTAAATACCAGGTGACTTGAATTGAGTTAACTACATTGCCATTGGCATTTGCGTCACAACAGTTAATAACATACGGCCATCGATGGAGAAAGTGGCACTGGAGGATACATCTACTACCACTGGGATGCAGACCTGATGAAAGAGTACCACAAGTGCTTGGGTACTGGGAGGGATATGGATGCTGATCCAGTAACCCTATTCGTGAAGCTGGAGCTGGTCCCTTTAACCACCAAACCATCGTCCACCTCGGTTGCTCCTACAAGCTACGCACCACAACCATTTCATGAAACTTGTGAGCCAGCACGACGACCGGTGACTTGCTGCAATGGCCCAAGCACTGGAGGAGGATGCAAAGACAACTCTATGTTGTTTGAGCCGCTTCTCCATGAAGCTCTGGACACCATCAAGCTGGTGTACGTGTAGATGCAACTGCAGCTGCACATGAGGTACTATTTTTACAACAACGGCTGAGTACATTACCCTGATAGGATACAGGACTGTCTCTACGTTCTCACTTATGCAGACGAAGGACCTTTCCATTTTTAAGTTAGCACCTTGAGAGCTGTGAAGATGCACGGTAAAGACAATGGGATTAGAGCTAAATATGGGTAGAATTTTGGAGCTGGAAGTGCAGGTGCAATGCAAGAACTTTGATATTTATGTGCTAAAGCATTACGTGGCTGACATGGACGGAGAGATTGAGAGGTTAAAAGAGGAAGTGGAGTCCATAGATGAGGTGATTGCCAAGAAGACTCTTTGGAGCTGTATGCAAGGGACAAGTTTGCGAAGAGGTTAGAAGCAGTTATCAAGGAGAAAGAGGAGATCGACACAAAAAGCGAAGGTAGAGCTATAGAAGAAGACAGTTAAGATTGAAAACTGAAAAAAGCTCTGAAAGAATTCCTAGGTTGATGGAGATCTATGATCTATCGTCCCGTCAGGTGCAAGTTTGTAACCTAAAGAATCATTTATGTGAAGAGAACATGTGCTCCTCTCGATCCTTTTGTTCTCTGAAACATGATCAGAACATTTGCAACCAAAGACTTTCAATTCAAACGTGATAAGACCTGTTTTTTTTGTTAGTTGAATTTTCTGTATTAGACTTCCCTTTCAGAATCCTGCAAACTTACATTTCGACTAGACTTCTCAAAGACAACAAAACACTTTAACTTGTCAACAATAAACCAGTAATGTCATCGAAAAGCTCCATGGATACGAGACCAAAAATTGGCTCTATTCCTCTGAAATAATCAATCACACTAAACTAAACATCGAATATCTTAATTACCATGACACCTCTTGCTACAACTCTTCATGAACATCAACTAGTTTGACTCCCCTATTCTGGTCCTCGCAATGCTTCAAATAAGAAACATGTTCAGCAACATCAACATAGCTGCTGTTGTTGTTTCCAGCAGCATTGCAGGTCCTGTAAGGAGGGTAGTGAAAACATGGATCTGTTGACAGGTCTCTCACACATGGATCATTGGTCCCATGTCCTGGTCTTCGCAGGATCCAGGCCCGAGTATCCCCTAATCCCTGAGCTACATAGCCAAAGGTCGACTTTGAGCTGATCACCAATTTATCACACAAGCTAAGCAGATATATCTCAACCAATGCCTTCATGTTATGCTCACTGTCTCCAAATTTCTGCTTCTCCTCGTGACTCGGTTGGTAAAACCTGATCACTTCACCGCTTGCAGTTGGTTTGTTGGAGTACATTGTGCTGAGGTTCTGATAGAATTGAGGGTACAGGGATGTTATCAAGACAGCTTTTGTTGTCTGGTTTCTAGGTGCGGACGAAGAAAGTTCTTGACTCCGGTTGTCAATCTTGGGAAGAAGGTTTTGGTTCAGCAAGCAAGCCAGAATCTGATCGGTAAAGACAGTAGATGTGCGGAATTGGGCTTTGAAGAGTCTTACTTGGAGGCCAATCCTTTCATTCGCACTAGCAAGGTTTGCGTCATAGAACCTGGTGATCAGCTCCCAAACCCTATTTGACGGGTGCACAAGATAATGAACCAGGTGAAAAAAGACTGCCTCTTTCTCTGGGAACAATTTGCTAGCCTCCTGTTTGAATGAAGGTATGAGGAAGAAGGAAGGCATGAAGTATTGATCTGATAGCATAATCAACCAGGGCACTCTGCTAAGAAACGACTGGCTTTCATCACAGTAGAAACAATAATCTGCATCCGCATAGATCCCTTTGTAGAGATTCAAAAAAAGGAATGGTGGTGCTTCTGGGGAATCTTCTGTCACTTTCAATGTGCCATTCTTCAGAGCACTGCCAACACTGTGAGCGAATCTAAACGCGTTCCTACGGAAAAGGCTCTTGAGAGGAAACTCCCGAGGCATCACCCAGGACGAACCCCGAAATGGCTCACAGAAGAGGCCAGTCATGTCTTCTCCAAGATCAACAAGAAGGACTCTGTCTGTTAGTAAAGCATACAGAAAGGTGGAAGCCAGACTTACAATTCTGTTTCCTATCCCATGCACAGGATGCCATACGAGATATTTACAATTGGTACTACTGAAGGTACTGAGATCCCCTGACCCGATAAGTTGTACAGTTCTGTTGTAGGATTCAGTGTAAGGGCCACAATGCCTATGGAGAGCCTCGTAGATTCGAAGTTTGGAGAGTAAATAAGCAGAAGGTTTCCTCTGGGTTCCAGATTTGCGGTAACGCCTGCTCTGCAATCTGCTTAAGCACGACTTTTCATCAAACCCTGAAGCAAAGAGACCATTCATCAAACAGGTGGTGTGCATTGGCTTGGTTCTGCAACCTGGTGGCTATTCTGTGAAACTCTTAACAGACCCAGTGAAGAAATCAGTCTTACCCAGATCAGACGACAACCCATGGAGATTCTGAACTCGTTCTCCCACTGGGTGCGGTTTGTACAATCGCCCAATGACATCAAAGGTGGACGCTTTCTGATGGATTCCAGGGATCAAGATGACCAAAATAGGCAACGCTATGAAACAAATGGCCATTGCGGAGAGGAATCTCCGGCATCCCTGCCCCTTCTCCATCGACGTAGGACCTGAAAAAGGGAGAACGGAACGATCGCATCGCAAATTCGCTCACGTCACAGGAAGATGCCAATCCATTTGCTTATCACAAGCCAGAATCATGGGGCACAAATTCGTCCAAACTTGTAGCAAATAAATAAAGGATCGAAGGAAAGCATACCCGGGAAGTAATGATAGGAGAAATCTGCAAGCTCTTCAGATCATGCGCCACTCTCTGTTCATCGACTACTGGATACGAGGGAAACTTTGTCGCGTTGTTCATTTCTTGGTGTGGAGATTGGGACTTTTCCATTGGGACACCATTAATTGGAAATTTGAAATGTCGGCCAAGTGGTGAATCTTGCTTTTACTGTCTGTCTGTCGGTGCGAGACTCTCTCCATCGGTTCATCCCCAACTGACCAAACTCCGAAGCCATGTGGATTAATTAATGTCGATACTTACGAAATGGCGAAGGAACATTACTAAATGACCTCAAGGGATGGCAATCAAACCCATGCCCATGGGTATCTGACCGACCCCGACCCAGTCAAGGCGGGGAATCCCCGCTTTGACTGGGTATGGGGCGGGTATGGGTAAAACCCGCAAAATGTTTGATGGGTACGGGGCGGGTATGGTTTTAGCCTCTCCCGCCTCATACCCATACCCATACCCGCCCCACCAAGAATATTTGTTCACATATAAAAAATACATGGATGAAATAGTAATCTATCAATGATAGTGAGGGTAAATAAAAAAATAATTAGTAGAAATGCAATTGAGTGGTCACTCAAATCAAAACCTAATTCATTTTCCTCAACTCTCTCTTCACTCTTTCACTTTTCCCTCGTGTTAGCAAGATTATATTAGTTCATTATTGCTTAGTATATGTATTAGAGTCAGATAAATAATGATTTGGATTACATTGTAGTACTCTATTTTATGGATTAAGGGAAATTTTAGGATAAAATGCTTTGCACCATATTAAGAATTATTGTCACTTTCTCGACTTCATGATATAATATGTGCCTTTAATGTTATAATTGAAAATTACATGTAAAATTTTATGTATTATAATGTTGGATGTACGGGGCGGGTATTACCCATGGGTATCCGAAACCCACGGGTATGGGGATGAGTTTGCAAAATCTTCCCCCGCATGGGTATGGGGCGGGTATGGGTTTGGATATTTGAGAGCGGGGATGGGGATGGTTTAGGCAAACCCGCCCCAAACCCGCCCCATTGCCATCCCTAATGACCTCCACCTCCTAACTTCTTAATGCATACAGTTCGCTTGCCCGCAAACTCAAAATCATACCAGGGCTTTCGCCTGGCTCTCGGCGCCCGTTGGTGATCTATTGCGCCAAGGCAAGCCCACCGTTGCGCCCGCTATCTGGCGCTCAAATGCCAATCTTGCTATGGTTAGAGCTGTCAAAATTGAACCCGATCCGACTAACCCGTCCAACTCACCCGATCCACAACCCATCCGTAATCCGATTTGACAAAAAGTCAACCACCCGAAGCCCGCCGTAACTCGAAATCAATTGACTCGTAATCCGATCAACCCATAACTCGATAAACTCGTTATCCAATCCAACCCATAACAAGACCCATCTATAACCCGAATGATTCATAACCAAGTAACGCGTAACCGAATCGAACCCAACTCGAATAACCCGAATAACCCATTTGACCCGAATGCTTCTACAAAAATTCAATGTATACATTATTATATTTTTAAATTTACCAAGAAAGAACTGTTGTTCTACTAATAATTGAAAATATAAAAAATTGTGAAGATATATAAGTGGGTGATTAGGAATGATGTTCATAAGTCTTCGTGGAAATGAAGAGACACACATCTAGTTCATACTATATTTAATTTAGGGATGACAACAAAACCCGAACCCACGGGTACCCACCCGACCCAACCCGGTCAACGCGGGTAAAATTCGTGTTGATGGGTGATGACTCGATATTTGCATAGGTTTTTCCCTTTGTTCCTTGATCGTTTAAGCTTGCATTATTGCTTCTTTGGCCTATTTTACGCTAGGTTGTGTTCCTTTGTCACATTTCAGGTCCTAGCACATAAAGTGAAGCATAGGCGCAAGTTTCAAGTCAATCAGAGATCAATTGATTTTGAAGTATAAGATTTTTCCTATCTAGCTCTCTGCTGTGTCAGTTGATTTTGTGAATTAGTGGAGCTAAGACCGTTGAATTCATGTGGTAATGGTGACTCTATTTGGATTGTGTTATGGACTCGTGTATCGAACAGGGTGCTCATATGGAAAATGGGAAGCAGTTGGTCCTCCATGTCAAAATCATTAAATCTTAAACATGGGGTAAGCCCAACGTGTGTGGCACCGTTCATTGCACAAAATCGGGTTTTGGAAGAGATTTTAGTGATCCTTAGTGGGGTACTCCTACAAGGTGAAGCTAAGCTGTCTCTAGTACAAGTAAAACTTCCACCCGTTGAACGGTTTGCCTACTCGAGGATGTGTTTTTAAGGGCACGGATAGAGCTTCCGACCCCCCTTAATTTCATTGACCCTCCACACGAGTTGAGGAAAAGGAGTTAAAAGAAGTACTCTGGCGAGCGCCAGATGTACAGAAATTGCTCTTGCTCGACTAATAAGGGTCGACCGTGCAAAAGACTGCAGTTGGAACTCCACCAAATGAAAGAAAAAATGTAAATGAAAGTGAGAAAAAGGGGTTCCAACGGTGAAATGAAGTGAAAGAGCACCCCGGTACAACGAGTCCTTGGTTGTGAATGGTGTGAGTCCCTTTATCCATGAACTGACTGTCTTACTTCTACTTTTTCTCATGATCCTGGCTTGAGTCTAGTACTCGCATTGAGAGAGATAGGGAACGTCTTAGAAGACCAGTTGACCTCGTAAGCTGCTATATGATCTAGGAAATCCTCTACCGACGATCGGGGTTGTATGTTGCTATAGAGCTCTGGAGAGTTGCATTGGTTTGAGTTAGGTTTGCTTGGGGACAAGCAAACAGTTAAGTGTGGGGGATTTGATGACTCGGTCCTAGCACATAAAGTGAAGCATAGGCGCAAAGTTCAAGTCAATCAGAGATCAATTGACGATTCGGGAGAAGAAACTCGGATATGACCTGAAGAAGAATGGATTTCTACCTCACTTCATGAACAAAGAATCATGCAAGCTTGTTATGAAATGAAAGAGGACGAGACTACGAGCGTCTGGGATCAAACGGCGACTGATTCGGAGTCCGGACGAGGGAGAAACGAAGCATTGAACAGGCTCGGCAGTGAAAACACGGGCAGTAGGCCTTCAGAACACGGCCGTGTTCTGTGGCCGTGTTTTTACTGCCGAGAGCTGATTTGAGTTTGGCCAACTCGAGCTGAAAACACGGGAGGGCTGAGGCAAAGCACGGCCGTGCCCTCGACCGTGTTTTGCCCAGAATCGGGTTTTTTAACCCAAATTCGAGCCAAAGGAGAGGGAGAGCTGGGTTTTGGATCCCAAACACCCAAGGGACGAACCAAAGAGAGAGGGGGCGATTTGAGGGCATTCTTGGAGTGGAATTGGAGGATTTCTTCGCCTTGGAAGCTCGAGGAACAAGCCCGGACTTGAAGACTGATCATCTGAAGATTCTTACTGCAGTCTCTCTCTTCTCTATGGAGTAACTTCCCTTCACTTAGGTTTTGAGGAACCCTAGCCATGTTTGTTTGATTGGATGATTGTATGAGTACTCTGACTTGATAATCTTGAGTTCATATTCAATCTATGCATGTTTTCATGATTCAATTCTGCTTTAGTCGAGATTATTGATTTTGCTTTGATCCTATGAGAGCGAATACCTGATTAGGTCAATAGAGCACCATAGATTGATAGTATTGGATCGATTGCTTTAGTCGAGGGTTGATTCAATGCTTTGTATCGATTGAGAACCTCATTCGATAGAGGGAATCTAGTTCAGAACGCCTTGATCAGTTGTTCTAGAGAAGGATACGTCCCTCTAGGCAATTGACTCAAGAGGGCCTTGTTCCTTTAGTCGAGACTCAAGGTCTAGTCAAGGATTCTCCGCATTGTGAATGAAAGTGAAACAAGTTAGAGATCATCAATCGTTAATCTGGCTAGTGGCTAGGGGGAATCATACCTAAGTGAGTTCCCAACCTGTAATTAGATTAACTTTAACTGTAGTTTGTTAGAGTAGTTTTAGTTCTTTCATCTTAATCTGGTTTGCTAGATAATGAACTGAAGCTGAGTAATAGTAACTCTAGAGACCCGTGGATTCGATATTTATTACTTGAGCCACTATACTGCAGTCCCTTTCATTGGTTACACTTGGCCATTGTTAGGAGTTGTGTCATAGCGAGTCAATGGGTTTTGGGCCGGGTTTGGGTTTGAACCCGTTCACTATTCACCGAGTTGGGTTTGGGTTTAGGTAAACTCGCTCCATGGTACCCGCCCACACTCATATAATTAATTTTCTCGGTATATTTAATATTCTAAACAACTAATCTTATTTATGTTTGTGGAGACATGCCTAATTTTTTCTTTTTAATTGTGTAGAATGAAGTTGATGTTATCGAGTGGAGAGTGAAGAAACTTAATTGAAAGGAAGAAACTTTCAATTAATCATGTTATTTATGGATAATTTGTGATTTGCTTCAATTTTCTTGAGTTTTCTAGATTGGTGTTGAACAATTTGTATAGTTAATTTGTGATTTGCTTGAAATTTCTAGAATCGTGTTTTATATATGGATAATTTGTATTGAGAGATTGATATTTGACTTTAATTTTGATAGGAACTTGTTATTGTAAATTTTTAACGATAAAAACCCGTGGGTACCAATGAACCCGCGGATACCCAACGGGTTGGGTTGGGTTTGAGTTTTTCAAACCCAGTGGGTTTTACCCCGGATTTTTTAAACGGATAAACCCATGGATTTGGGTTTGGCAAAACCCGACCCATTGTCATCCCTAATTTAATTAAGACGATTCATTTCGTGATGTATAAGCATATAGTCTACCTGTTTTACTTCATTCTCAAATTTTTACTGATTCAATTTTTTTATAAATTAATAAAATAAGTGAAGTTACAATCTCTCACCATAAACAAAAAAAAAAAAAATAATAATAACCAACAACAAAGCTTTATATACACTATTTTATTTATATTTAGTTTTTATACTAACATAATGGATAATTAATTTTTATGAGTAAAATATTATGATATTATCATTTCTTAAATTTTGTATCATTACCTACAATTTATATTCATATATTGATAGTATGTAAAACATTATTTTCTGTCAAGAAGTAAATGATCCAATGGGTTGACCCGAATAACCCATAATCCGATCTAACTGAACCCGAATTAACCCGTAATCCAATAAACCCATAATTTGATGCACCCGTAACCCGACCCGATCCGTAACCCAATTGACCA